GGGGGGAGAGAGAGAGACAGAGAGAGCTCTGTGGGGGAAAAACGGTTGAGAGAGACGTGGGGCAACCGGTTGTGAGAGGTATGTGGACGAAACCGGTTTGTGTGTGTGTGTGTGTGTGTGTGTGTGTGAGAGAGAGAGAGAGAGAGAGAGAGAGAGAGAGAGAGAGAGAGAGAGAGAGAGAGAGAGAGAGAGAGAGATGCGGGGAAAAACGGTTTTGAGAGAGACGTGGGGCAAACGGTCTGTGGACGGAACTGGCGTGTGTGTGTCAGAGGGAGAAAGAGATGTGGCCAAACCGGTTTTTCGAGAGACTGTGTGCGCGTGTGTGTGAGAGAGAGAGAGAGAGAGAGGGCTTGGCCGTGAGAGAGAGAGAGAGAGAGAAGAGAGAGAGAGAGAGAGAGAGAGGGCTTGGCCGTGCTCTCCGATTTGGATTGCATGTAGAATCTTGCGAGATCGAAAGCAGAAAGCAATCATTTTCAATGCCCAATCTCAATGTGATTGTCATATTCTTTCCCCCTCCCCCCCCCACCTTGCAAGGAGTGTCTCATGAGGGTAAGGAATCCGAAGAAAAGATACCTGGGGTTAGCACGGCCGTGTCCTCCTCTCGGACTGTATAAAGTCGGTTTTTTTTTTTTGGTCCTTGTACAGAGATTCAATTAACTCTCTGTAACTTTTTCTCGGACTCTTGTCTTTTTTTTTTGTTTTTTTGTGTCTGTTGACTATAGGGATTTCGTGTACGTGATTTCATCATTTGTTACGATGAAGATGAGGACGTTGATCATGATGTTAGGACTGAAGTTCTGGATTTATTTGTGGATGTAATTCCCCGATATTTGTGGATTTGTGAGCGTGATTGACCTATGAATCTGACGCTCACGAAGGGTAAGGGCTTCTGCGCTCCACCACGCACCAGATGTGCGAGATGAGAATGAACCTTACGCGAGAACGTGGACAGATACGTCGCCGTATTTTTTTGGCTTTTGTTATATGTGCGAAATGAGAATGAATCCCTCGCAAGAACACGGAAAGGCACGCCGCCATAGTTTTTTGGCTTTTGTGTAATATGTGGTAATGAGAATGAATCTTCTGCGAGAACATGGCCAGATACGTCGCCGTATTTGTTTGGCTTTTGTGCAATATGTGGTAATGAGAATGAATCTTCCGCGAGAACATGGAAAGATACGTCGCCATATTTTTCAGCTTTTGTGTATGTGGTGGGATGTGGCGGGAGGCCCCAAGGCACTCCTTGTATTTTTTGGCATCTGGTAGTTCAGAAGTTGTGGGCAATATATGTTTTTTTCCTTTTTTTTTTTTTGGCTGACATCTGCTCACCCTGTTCCCTGTATGTTTGTTTCAAGCAGTCGCACGCAGGGCTGTAAGTCGGGACACACGTTGCCATTTAAGGGCTGCGAGTCGGGACACACGGTGCCATTTAAGGGCTACACCAAGTCGGGACAGACGGTGCCATTTATACACGACGTGCGGCACGTTTCTTGCTCCAAAGTCCGGACACGTCCTTTCAGGAAGAGAGCAGGGCGCAACTCGACACGTGGAAAACCGAAGAGGGTGGTGGTATACTACACCTCGGATACGGATAGCAGGTTTGGGTGAGAGTTGGTCCAGGTTCAGACGACGTAAGAGCGGGGTATAAAATATAAGTCGGGACGCGAAAAACTTGAGTGTGTCTCAGGAGTCGGGACGACGAAAGCGAGGTATGAGTCGGGATGCCGAGAGCGAAGCGAGTGTGAAAGTCGAGGAGACGAACGCGAAACGGAGCGGGATCTTAAGTCGGGACGACGAAAGCGAATCGGGATCCGAAGTCGGGACGATGAGACGACAGCCAAAGACGGAGGTTATGCGCCGGGATGAGGATCTTAAGTCGGGACGACGATAGAGAAACGACAGCGAAGCTGATCTGTTGATCAGAGCTATAGACGCCCTAATCGAAAGAGGATCTTAAGTCGGGACGACGAGGGAGCTCTACTGATCGTTGATTAACGGCAGAGAGAGGGACTTCGTTTGGCGGTATATAAATATATATAAATATACGCATATCTATATATATAATGTAGATATAGATATAAATATATAAGTGTAGCACGATTTAAGAGACGACGACAAAGTTTGACGTCGATAGGTGATGAGGTGTCAAAAGACGACAGCAGATGCTGACGTGTCTTTTAATCAGCCTTATCCATTAATACGTAGAAGGATGAAGAATAATATGCTGTTTGGACCGTACGGGCGAAGGTTGTGTGCATAAAGGCGGGAGGGGGAACGCGGAGATAGGAAACTTCCAGGAAACATTTAGGAAATACCCAGGAAAGTTGTAGTTGCTGCTGGCGTGGAGGCGCTAGGTAATCGATTCGCTAATCAGGTCGGTGATGAGGTGACGCGCAGCTGATGAGGTGATTCAGCGAAAAGACGTGCAATGTGGCGGAGCGTATGATGAGGATATCTTGGAACGTGGAAGGAGGAGAAAACGCACAGGGAGGAAGAAAGAGCGAGAGAGGTGTATGTTGGTGGAGTGCAGAGTCGGTGCTTAGTGAAAGGGGAAGGGAGTTGATTAATTGATTGGTTGATTGATTGATTTGATTTGATTGATTGATTGATTGAAGGGTTAGCGTGTTTGAGGAAGAAAGAGCAAGAGGTGTATCTTGGAGTGAGAAGACGGGGCTTTGTGGAAGAGGGACGGAGTTGATTGATTGATTGATTGATTGATTGATATTGGGAGAGGTGGGAAGAGAGAGTTGAGGTATAAAGATTTTTGGTGTTTGAGAATCAGCGGAAATGTTTAAAAATCAGCTTCAGGAGTTGGCACAAAAGAATTCATACAATTTGCCGTCGTACGCTTGTATAAGGGAAGGACCTGACCATGCTCCTCGTTTCAAGGCCAGCGTTAATTTCAATGGAGAGCTGTTCGAGTCCCCGTCGTATTGCTGCAATCTCAGACAAGCTGAGCACGCAGCGGCAGAGGTGGCTCTCACAACGTTGTCGCGAAGAGGACCTCAACAATTGCTTGCGGCAAAGATAATGGTAGAGCATCCTGTCACCCTTTTTTCCTTTTTTTTAATGTATATTTCACCATTTCTTGTTTTTAATCTTTGTTTTTTGTGATCATTATGTTTTTCGAATAATGATTTTTCCGTATATTTATGCTGTGTTCTCGACCTCTGCATTCACATTCAATTGTTTTTTTTTCCCCTGCAAAAATAATGATATCTTCCTGTCCTCGTTTTAGATTTTCTTTCCATATTACTTCTTTTTTTTTTCTATTTTCAACCCTGATGTATCTGGCCGTAATTACGCTCAGAGCTTAGTTCAAAAAGTCCTACTGTGAGTACGCCCTAAGGCTATAGACGGGGACACCTGCAAACTTTTTTTTTTTTTTTTTCTCTTTATCTCCACTTTAAGTAATAACTTTCTTTTATAATTCTCTGGTATATCTGCAAACCTTTTCATTTCACATTAAGATTATATTTTCTCCTTTTTTGAAAATCAGCAAAACGCGCGATTGAGCTAAAAGAAGTAGATGATGCTGTACGTTCGTCGTTCGAAATCATTATAGCTTGTGACCAAAATTGTCTGGGCCATCGCTTTTCCTTTTTTTTTGGAAACTTTGGCTACCTCCGAGCTTTTTTTTTTTTTTTTTGGTTTTTCGCCGAGGCGGAAAAGAACTGCTCGCCGCGACTTTTCTTTTTTTTTTCCTGACACCTTTTTTTGGGGGGGCCTGGCACCGCCCGGTCTCTGAAAAATGCGTTTAGAGATTTGCGGTTTTTACGGAGACGCCCGGTCTCCAAAAAATGCGGTGTATGGTACGTTCACCGTTTTTCCCCCCTGAATAGAGATTTGCGTTCGGAGATTCCCTGTGAAAGGTACTGGATTTTTTTTTTTTTTTTTTTTTTTTGAAAATAGGCAGACTTCGGTAGAGGCGCTTTAACACTGAATACTCTTCGCACTTTTTTTTTTTTTTTTTTTTCTGGAGAATGGAGAGTACTTTAACAGTTGCTTTTAGTGAAGATAGCGAAGAAGAAGAAAGGTAAGCAATTTCTTCTTCTTCTTTGCCCATCCGTGTCTTTTCTTTTCCATTATTCGACTTTCCTTTTTTTTTTAAAGGAGGTGATTTTTCTTTTCTTTGCGCGTCAGTGTCTTTTCTATACATTACTCGCAACGATTTCGCGGAGAGGAGCTCAGCGGCTCGCTTCGAGCAGAGTTTTTCTATTTTTCTATTTTTTTTTTTTTTTTTTTTAAATGTTTTGCATATGTAGTTATCAACTTGCAGCAAAGATCAATGGTAGCTTTCTCCCTGTCCTTTTTCTCCTTTCTCTATCGCTTATGTATCTACTTGCTATATTCTCGACTTATATATGTATATATATATATCATAGCCCCTCGTTTGTTGCCCTCTTCTCTCTCTCTGCCTACGGTCTTACCGGGCAGTTCTGTTTGTGACGATATATGTCATAGGATCAGTACCTCTGGGCCTCAGCCCTCCTCTGTGCAAGCACGGACTGGAACCGGCGAGCTCGGCCTCAAGGGCCAAGTAGCGCAACCACTACAGCCAGGACACGGTGTTCAAAACATTTTATTCATCCATTTTAAATTTCACGCGTTAACTATTTTTTCCGAGAATTTGATTTACGTATCTCTCTTCGCATCGGATCTCTTCTCTTGCCTTGGCTTTTGTACCCGGGGCCCTCTTATAACTAAAAACATTTTTTTGCCTTTTTTGGGGCCCCTTGGGCCCTAACTGTGAAGCTCCTTGCTTACGGTCTTGTTCCTCGGATACAACGCAGGCTTTCTCCTCTTGGTTGTGGATTCGTTTTTTTTTTTTAGGGGGGGGTGTGGGGGGCTGAGGTAACGGACATATATTATCTTGGAATTGACCGGCCCCAGGTAAATCCCAAACTGGTTGCGGATTTTTTTTTTTCTATTTTTTTGGCCACTGATATATATCATCTTCGAATTGACCGGCCCCAGGTAAATTCAAAACTGTCCGTGGATTGCTTTTTTTTTTTTTCGTTTTTTTTTTTTGGGCCACGGATATTGCCTTCCGCGCAAGTTTGGGGTTTGGCTTTGTGTTTTCTTTGTGTGAGATGTTTGGAATTTCGCTTTTTTCGCGTGATTACTACACTCCGTCATCGCATCGTTCAGTAGCAGAGTAGCAGCTTTTTTTCGGGTCTGATACAATCATATGATAGATTTTGACCGGTCTGGCACAGTCATGATGAAGGTGCGGTGTATTTTTGGGAGAGAGAGAGAGAGAGAGAGAGAGAGAGAGAGAGAGGATGGGTCGTTGGAGGTGGGGGAGTTTGAAAGTGATGCCGGTATCGGTTGTGTGTGTTTGTGTGTGTGAGAGAGAGAGAGAGAGAGCGAGAGAG